GCTGACCTGGACACACATCTGAGAAAGACCGAAGATCTGAGTGTATGAGCAGGAATATTATGAACACATTGTATTTAATGTACTGTATTTGATTTATTAGGATCTCCAAGTTTTGGCCGACGCCTTCGCTGTTTTTCCTGGAGTCCTATTCAACCGTAATCTTCACCATGCACTACATCATAGCGTGTTGTGATTGACAGGTTCTAAACAGGATAAAAACAGGTGCAGTGATCATGTACTACACTAGTACATGATCACGTTCCAGTCGCTTGGGATGAAGACAAAAGTACTGCGGTCTTGAGCAACGAGTTTCATGAAACTGTTGTGGTATGCATGGTGAGCAGAGAGGGGAGATAGTTTGGGATCTTGCCCCTGACTGTGATGCCATCTTGTGGCAACTTGATGCCGAGGAACTAAAGAATGTTGAATTGACAAAAGAGATAGATTTTTCTAATACAGAAACAATGATTTGCCATGTCTTGTAGCAATCTTCCTTGAATTATGTGGAAATACTGCTCTGTATTTTACGTTTTCAGCACAAAGAACTAGTTTAGGTCTGACCTTGTGTATTTTCTCAGTTTTCACTGTCGTGCAAGGTTTGCCATTCGCGGACAGTATTTAGACTCCACAGAGTATGACTGATGCATCACATTGATATCCTCCTTGGCTCGCAAAGATTTAGTTGTCCTAAACCTGTGGGCATATAGACCAGTTTCAATGTTTGCAAACAACAGTGACGTCATGATGATGCGTGCGCAACTCAGAGGCAAAAGCACTCGTTAATGAACCGTGTCCGCTCAAGCACCGCTGCCTGTATTTGATGAATACCCGTCGCGTTTTCACACACGAGACCCTCAAAGCCTACAAGAGTCTTGATGCTTATAATTACATGGTATGTGGCCATGTTGAGTCGGTTCTTTTTCATCAAGCTGCTGAAAACTGTGACTTTTGTTTCCTGAAAGCCGATGTCTTGCCTTGTCAAAGACAGGGACAAAAGTCTCAGTGTTATCATGCCTGGGTATGTGTGAATAAGAAGACTGGCTCCATACTTACCGCTAACTGCACGTGCATGGCAGGGTAAGTAGGTGTCTTCAAATTTCAATTATGGACCATGTAATTCAATCATCAAACTAATCAATTCTGAGAGGTCAATTTAGCAAATAACCATGCAGTAGTTGTTCACTGTACCTAACATTTGTGTGTGACGAATGATAATGAGTTTAATTGTTGTGACAGTTTGATGTGACATGTAGAGTCGTTGAAGTTTAAAGAGATATAAGATTAAGCACAACTTTCATATAGATTCTACATATTTACACCTCTGTCTCAAAAAAATCACAAATAATGATCAGCAGTTTTCGATTCAGTTTGAATCATGAGTCTTTTTGTTTCAGCGTTGGTTCATGTTGCAGCAGCAATCATGTTTAAGGTGGACATGGCAGTGAGACTGGGCCTTTCCGCTTCAGCCTGCATATCACGATCCTGTGCATGGAATGACATGTCCAGAAAGAAAATGGAACCAGTACGTGTGTGTGATATCAACTTGAAGAAAGTTAAGAGAACTGGCAAAACATCATGTGCAACGTCATGAAGCAGCATATCCAAAGACAGCATTGTGGTCACTGGGTGTGAGTCACATAATGAAGCAAAGATGTCTCGACAATTTGCTGAAAATAGATTGCAAAAGCAATATCCTAATTCAACCAAATGTGACTAATGATACACACAGATGAAACAGGCACTGGTACTCAACATGTTAAATGTAGCATGTTTAAAATGCTTTTATTCATAATTATATATTTGATTTCATATTTAAGGATAACCGACGAGCACATAAACTTGCTGAGATCAATGACACCAAAAGCTGCAGTTCTCACAAGCATTTACTCACATGAGGACTCCACAGACAGAAACACTGCTTCAGAGTGCGAGGACTGTCTTCCTGAGCCAGTTACAACTTTGGATTAAGAGTCAGCATGTGAGCTCACACCTGAAGAACTTTCATCAAAAGTTGATCAGACATTGCTCTGTTGTGATGGAGGCAGCTGCACAATCAACGGGTACAGCTCGATCATCTGTAAAATAAATCATATCACATACATGTAAATACAATTTTTACCTGTGGGATTTTTGGTTGTGTTTTGTTTTGACCAAATGAGTGGACATTATTTTTCAGACGACTTACTGGTAAATGAAGGATCACTAAAATTTCTGCAGGTGTCATTGTATCTTCATGGTCGGTGTTGATATCTGTGGAAAAAAAATATATATATTTATATATATGCTTGTGTGTGTTTATAAACTCATGCATGATACAAGTTTTTCAATTTGGTGTTCATACATCAGTCTATACCAGGGGTGGGCAATTATTTTTCCGGGGGGCGCAAATGAGAAGCAGAAAATATTGTGGTGGGCCGGGCCAAAAGTTAGAAATCTACTCCCGATTTCAATTTTATTTCTTCGTTGAAAAATGTTAATGACATTTTTTACAGAAGCTGATCAGAGTATGTATGATTGCTAGATAATGAAAGTGCAGTTATTTTACAGAAAAATGATTTCTTCAGTGAAATTATGCAAAACAATTCTAATTGTGCAACATTTGTAACTCTTTTTCAGTAAGATGAATACTACAACGCTTTCTGATTTTAACTTTCCTATGAAGATATCCGGGAGGGTCTCAGAGTAGAGCCGCTTCTCCTCCACATCGAGAGGAGCCAGATGAGGTGGCTCGGGCATCTAATTAGGATGCCTCCTGGACGCCTCCCTGGTGAGGTGTTCCGGGCATGTCCCACTGGCAGGAGACCCTGAGGACGACCCAGGACACGCTGGAGAGACTATGTCACCCAGCTGGCATGGGAACGCCTCGGGATCCGCCAGGAAGAGCTCGAAGAAGTGGCTGGGGAGAGGGAAGTCTGGGCTTCCCTCCTAAAGCTGCTGCCCCCGCGACCTGACCCCGGATAAGCGGTGGAAAATGGATGGATGGATGGATGGATGAAGATAGCACAATGTCTTTGTATGCCAGTAATAATGTAACATAACTCACATTTTTTGTCCCAACTGCCAAACCATGTAGAAAAAATACAAGCATGTTTCAGTGTGGCGGCCCGATAGTCCAGTGGTTAGCATGTCGACTTCACAGTGCAGAGGTACCGGGTTCAATTCCAGCTCCGGCCTCCCTGTGTGGAGTTTGCATGTTCTCCCCGGGCCTGCGTGCGTTTTCTCCGGGTGTTCCGGTTTCCTCCCACATTCCAAAAACATGAATGGCAGGCTGATTGAACACTCAAAATTGTCCCTAGGTGTGAGTGTGGGCGCGGATGGCTGTTCGTCTGTGTGTGCCCTGCGATTGGCTGGAAACCGGTTCAGGGTGTCCCCCGCCTACTGCCCGAAGACGGCTGGGATAGGCTCCAGCACCCCCCGCGACCCTTGTGAGGATAAGCAGATTGGAAAATGAATGAAAGATCATCATTACATGTTTTGTGAATCAAAATGATTCTGTGACTAGGTCTGAAGCGTTCCTTCATAGTCTTGTATTTGATGATTCAAAGACAAAGCAGTGAGAAGAATGAGTTGGTCATGACAGACTTTGTCATGTTTATTCATGTTGACACAGGAAACAGAAAAATAGATGCAAATATACATATATACATACATATCTTGGTTATTAAATAACCTCTATAATTACAAATATACAAGAATTGATTTCATTATATTCCAGAATACTGTACAATCAGAAAGAATATAATAATTATCTTCTCTGTGACATCATTGTGACCGGCAAGAACTGACTTCATCGTTCTCGTCTCTCATTCGATGTTTTAAAAGTATTATCTTGGTGTCTGTTGCGGTATTTGGTAGTTGAGAGACGACAGTCCAGGAAGTGCACGATGGCTGGTGAGGGAGTCCTTTCGGGCAATGGGAACAGGTTTGCTTTTCGGGCTTGTAGGTGTAGCAATGCCGTTGCTTAGCTTTAATTGCCGTTATGGACGTTTTGATCTTATCTGAAACAAAGTAACAGAAAACAAGATGATGATTCAATGCGAGATCCGTTTGTTGCGTTGAGTGAGACATGAACTCATATACATTACTTTGTATGTGTGGTTGAAACTGTTCACATGGTTTTGCTCGTTATTTGAAAACAATTATTTGGTCTTTTGCGGATATGAGAAAATGTTGTCTTGAATTAAAAAAAAAAAGCAATGATTGCAACAAATGACTTGGCCAGAAAGTATACACGTGATGGGGCCAAAACGGAACTTTCAACAATTACCTATGAAACTGGCCACTGCTGGCTCACAGTCCATCGTGGCGGAAAGCTTCTGTTCAAGCATTTGTGGCAGATTCCCTGTAACATGCAGCAAAAGCAAAGAAATTAGATCTCAACAAGACTGAGGCCGTGAAGACGAGCAGCTGAGTTATGTGCAGTGTTACCAATGTTGTGGGCGTTCTCTATGAAGCAGTGAAGGACATCCCTCTCCAGTTGCAGGCGTTTCTCTGTGTTGCCGTTCATCTTTCTAACTCCTCCGGACTGGAGGAGGGTGGGAGCCAAGACTAGCGACAGGTTAGTGCAGTCCATCTTATTCTTTGCACTCCTGGAATCAAACCCAGATAGCGAGGATTAGCACACCGAGAGAAAAAGTCCTTCCTGAATCAGAATCACAAAAATGTAAGCACCTCTTGGACACTTTTTGCAGGAACTCAGCAAAGTGACGCATGACACTTTGGTTGGTGTCAGGGAGGACGCAAGAGAGCAGCATGGTGGCGCAGGTGCGGGCCTCCTTGGTGGGGAGATGCTGTGCCTTGAGGAAGGCCTCCTGCATCTCGGTGGGTAGCACAGGTTCTGGCAACTCCCTGAAGAATTGCTTCACCAGGCTGGCCACATCACAAGGAAGACAGGAACACAAGCGCTCCTCACCAGAATCCATTTTTTTCTGGACATATACAACAAAAATTAACGTCTGAAAGACCTCTCATGGGGTCAGCACGGTCAACCAATCACTCACCTGCAGTGTCTTCAGGCGAGCAAGAGAGCCAGATATTCTGAACAGGCCCTCTGTGTCGACATGCTCCAGCAACTTCATGCATGCATCCACCAGAAAACTAGGAGAACGGGGATATGTTTCATACTTGCAATTTGACCAATACTCAATGCAAGCAAATGAGTGTATTCACTTACCAAGGGACACTCCCATACTCCATCTGAGAACATGGTAAGCGCTCCAAGGGCACACCAAAGACCTTTGTCTGAGAACAAAAAAAGGTCAGATGGACAGCTCGGTGAGAAATGAACATAATGAATCTGTAATATTCTCAGAAACATTGAAACGGCAATAACTGTAACACAGTGAAAATGTTAACATGATAATGTCACCAGCCACAACGTTAACCGGTAAGGAATCGTGTCGGACACATTTATATGTCGCTGTAATGCTTCTCAGAATTGTATTATTGTGCTGCTGTTGAATCACCTATGTGGAAACACTGGTCCGGTCGCCTTTTTTTCCGATATTACTACTATTCCTAATCATTTTTAAATCTATATCTTTTACGTATGTATTTTCTAAATACCTGACAAGGATGACATCGTGGATTGTGTACAGGAGCTGGATCAAAACGCTTTCTTTGCAAATGATTCATTCGTTAATGACATTAATATGACTCTCACTGGATTAATAAAGCATCTGTCGATCGCAATCTAATTCTGAAATATTATTAGCACAGTATGTGTTATTACTCGAGGTATGACGCAATTGCATAACGCGATCAAATATATTAATAATGAAACGCGCTGCAACTCTTGTTATTTTACATCGGACTGGAGGTCAAAATTAAGTACTAGATTAGTTATGACCTTGTACTTTTTTGTAAATGGAAATCAGACCAGTAATGTTTTCTCCAACTTACCGACTTTCTTGCTGTCGACTTGTAAGTGACTTGTTCTTTTTCGTTGCACTTCTTCACCTTGATGCCAAAGGCTGTTCGGAGATGCTGCACAGCCACTTTTCGAATCACTTTTTTCTCCGAGGCACTCATTTTACCCTCTTCTTTCAAAACTATCGAGTAGAGAAAAAAATATTCCGAAAAAAAAATCAAATGATCTTGCCGTTATGAAGACAAGATGGCAAGTGGCGTTCAATACGGCAGTCGCCGGGCTAACGTTAGCTGGCACTTGCAGGAAAAACAGCAGTAATACCAACAAAATATTTGGATATGCCACGCAGATAAAACTCACACATCGAAGGTAACATATAAAACGATGTCGATTTAATCAAGATTACAGCGTCCGTACTTCAGTGCGACGAACTCCGTTGCCCTGCTGAGCTGTTTTGACAGACGGCCGCGCTCGAAAGCGGTTGAACGTGCGCCCGTTACGATTGGCTGGGCAAACATTCGACCTTTTCAACAAGCATATATAATCTAACCTCCAGTAAACTGTCAAATTATGCCGTCAAATATTCATATACGGGGGGAAAATTAAGCAAAGTACATCGGAAGCAGCAGTGGGCTTGCCGTTATGAAGACAAGACGGCAAGTGGCGTTCAATACGGCAGTCGCCCGGCTAACGTTAGCTGGTAATTGCATGAAAAACAACAATAATACCGACAAAATATTTGGATATGCCACGAAAATAAAACTCACACTCACAAGGCGAATGTAACATACAGAACAATGTCGATTTCATCAATGTAATTGATGACAGCGTCCGTATTTTCTCCAGTGTGACCAACTCCGTTGGCCCGCTGAGCTGTTTTGACAGACACCCGCGCTCCAAAGCGGTTGAGCATGCGCACGTTGCGATTGGCTGAGCCAACTTTCCACCTGTTCAACAAGCATACGCAATCTCACCTACGACAAAGTGCGTCACTAATGTGGCTGAGTGTCCAACTCGTGCTGACCGAACTAGTGTAACACACTAATGTCTGATATCAGGGATGTGGAATAAACGTTCAATTGGCTTGCCATATGGTACTGGATGCCACAAACAAAAACAAAAAAATTGAATTCAGAATCACGATACACGGAGCGGTATATCACAATACAACAGAAGGTAAGTCGGCTACTGTTGATGCACATGACAAAAATATGGTGGTTGAAGAGGAAGCACATCTTGTCGAGAATAATGACACAACGTTTTCACTGACCTTTACTGATTGTAAAGTGACCTTAGTGTCACTGCACGATGAAAATTATGCTCTGGCATCTTTAAATGAAAACGGACTAGTAGAAACATTACTGCTTGGGCCGCTTTAGTATTTACAGTCTCAGGCTAAAGCACGCTCTATCAAAAGCTTCTGGTCATAATACGATGCCAAAACGAAACAAAATAAAATACAATACAATACTATTAACATAAACGTACTCGAGATACATATGATATATTACATTGTTCCGTATGGTTTCCTTGCTATACTAGCTGCTATACGATAGTGCACTTCTCCTGTGTAATGCAGTGCTGACTTCGACGAATTTGGTGCTGAACTCGCACTTATTGACGCTGACATGTGCGCGCTGCAGCACACGTCTACGTACGCGTTAAACTGTATTAACATAAAAAAAAAAAAACAAAAAAAAAACGCATTTACTGCTCCCTTCAGTGGTCAAACCTCCTGGTTACCTCGAGCCAATCCACTTTTTCCTCCACTCGAGAGTTTCATGATTATTTAATAATACTAAAGATTGAATCGGGCAATTGCACCTCATTTGTCCAATCTGATTTAAAAAATGCTTTTATACTGTAATAGTTGTGACTTCCTTGTCAACCAAATCTCTTCTTAAGACCCACCATGTTGGAATTATTTATAATGCTGTTTTTATCCATGATTTCACCACGTGTTGCTTGTCTGTACTTGCCAAGCATCTTTGTGTATTTTAAAAGGGCTGTATAAATAAAAGGCTATTAGTACTGGTAGTAGTAGTAGTCGTAGTAGTATTAGTGATAGTTGCTGATGATATGGTGGTCGTTCTTTAAGCTTACATTGAATAGAACCGTTACCTAGTGCAACCCCTCCTCTCTCTGGATGCGGTTGGCCGTCAGACTCTTTATTTCACGTTTGATGGAGGCTCCTGATGGTGCGCCAATGGGGAGCAGAAGCGCGTGTTCAAGTGGTTTTGGAGTTGAAAACAGATGAGACCCTGCAGGCAGATCAGAGAAATCTCCCTCGTGGCAACACTTTGAGGCTCAAAACAAGCAGGATGATTCCCTGTCACGATTATGGATGTAATTTGTTATTCCAGATTTAAATCTCTTGTCTGGACAATTCTTATCTCGTCACTGTTTGTGATCTATGGTAAGTGACTTCTCCTTCTCCATCATTTAGCCGCGTACTGTTTGTTGTCCATATGGATAAGTGTTAACAAATGCTGCATATCAAGATAAATTTGTCTAATGGCGGCGTATATTCAAATTGAGGTAATGCTTCAATGGGATAGTGTAGTTTGCGTTATTTTCCTGGAAAACTGGATCCTCACACTTACATACTACCTCTAAAATGTCTTAGCTTTTTGTTTCAAAATCTTTCATTCATTATCTGCGTGCATCTGTCCCCAGTGCATGATTAGAATTTCAATTTCGAGTCTGACATCATTGCCAATAGTGATGTCTGTGAGAACAGCAACCCTTCTTGTTATGACTAAAAAGACTCTGACAGTGGGGGACCAGAACAGTGGCCCAAGAGAGGGGTTGACACGCACGGACAACATGATGCAGGGACAGAAGGCAGACACAATATACGTCTTTGAGACACAACAAACCCCCCGCAAGTTATCGCAACTGAAACACACAGATGAACAAGCAGATTCATCAGTGTACATCCGACTGGCTGAAAGAGATGTCAGGTGTCCCCCCCATGTGCCATTTGGCGCTCTCCAGATAGGGCGAAACAAAGACCCTTAAAAGCAATTTACATTTGAAAAGACGACATGCTGTAGGAGGGGAATAGGGATGTATGGTTGGTTGGATCTGTCTCCGAATCTCTGAATCCACTGGAGTCTGCCATGGGGGACTAGTGAAAGACCAGCAGCACCACTGGGCCTACTGCAGTACCACCTGTCTCGATTTCTTCTGAAATTGATGCCCGAATGTTTTCATGTTTTGGGTTACATGACTCATTTCCACACTGTTTATTAAGGGTAACACCATTTATCCATAGACGATGCAAGTGGATCATTCAAAAGAAACTGTAAGCGATTGTAATTTAATACTGCACCAAAACAGGTCAGTCAGTTTGAAAGTACACCTTACAAAAATAGCCATCAGGAAAAGGGACGGTCATAAAAATGAATCCACTCTGAATTTACTTGATTTTAGATTAATAATTCTAACCTTGAATAACTGAGGACTACGCACTACTTTTGTACATTTTCTGCTTCATGAAAATTACATTTAACCCTTTCAGGGACAGCGGTTACTACAGTGGACAGCTTATCATGTTATCAGCTTACAGGGTGCATGAAAGGGTTAATTTACCCCACACATTTGTTTGATAGTGGAAAAATAACATTTTATCAAATGCCCATCTCTTCTTAGGATTGATACATTCTTGACCGGGAAATATTTTTTTGCATATTGCACATGCTCATGAACCCAACTACCGAATTCATACCTGTCAACTCATACGGTTTAGCCACAGTTCATACCGATTTTGTGGTGAATCTTACGTATATGGCCGTATCGCACAAATCATACGGATTCTGAAAATTTCCGTCTTTTTTTTTTTTTTTTTTTCACCTAACAGGTAGTTTCCGTTTGCTTTTGCCCAGAATGGTGCTAGTCTACTCGAACGCTTTCATTTCCGGTAACTTTCCAGTAAATCACGTGGGTTTTTTTCTGCCGTTATTTTGACATATAAAATGCTTTGGTATGTTATAAGGATTTTTTGCTCTTTATAAGGATTTTTTTGGTAGTTGATACAGGTTGGCGCTCTGAAAAGTTGACAGGTATGCGAATTGGCTCAAACATAAGACGGCCCTGATTATAAGACGAGCCCCTCTTTTTCAAGACTCAAGTTTGAAAAAACTTTTTGAACACCAAATTAATTTTTATACAGAAAATAATGACAGTACATCTGAAACAAATGATTCTAACAATATATTTGAGAGAAAAAGCATGTTGTTAATGGCTTCTTTTTTGAAATGTAAATTACATCATAGCTTCTCCTCAGCTGCCGGTTAACCTGGCCGATCTTTGACCCACTTTTCTCCAGATTGTCGCTACGTTTCTCCATTTTCTGTTATCGCTTCTATTATTTTCTTCTCTTTTCTTTCTTACCGCTATTTTATATTTTTCTTCTTCGTGCTACCGCTATTTTTATTTTTATTCTTCGTGACAGGGGTTCACTTTGGCCTGGGGAGTAAAGTTTAGCATTCGCTTCAATGATATCTGGCGCCATCTAGCGTCATGAATGGGTATAATGTCTAGACCCCGAATATAAGACGACCCCCACTTTTTCAGTCTTATTTCAATGCAAAAACACACCGTCTTATATTCGGGCCAATACAGTATATAGACATATGACGCAAGTAGCATATCATCATCTCCTTGTACCACAGTCATGCTGAGTCCAGTATGGATGTGGCTGCTCTGGAGATAATTGCAAGTCGCCCCTTGAGTCTGACTGCCCTTCACCAATCATGGAGCACAAGAGCCTCCCCGGAGGTTTTGCATTCAGCCTGATTGGACACTTGAAGGAGGATCGCTGCGACTGTGTGCATACATTTATACACCGGGGCTTCATTCTAATGTTGCAATTTTACCACAGTTGTCATGCAAGGCCCCACTCCATATCCATGCAATAACTACTTTGTTTTGCATAAGATTTTAGTGAAGTGCTCAGGAGTGTTCATCATCTGAGCATGCAGCATTTGCTCATCTGATTGTGAGCCTCTTTGGTCCCTGGATGTCATAAAGAGCATTGCTCATTCAAAGAGCACTTGAAGGGAGTTACACACAAGGTTTTGCTCCCCCACCAAACAAGAAAACGGTTACCGTACTTGAATAATGTTACTTGATGTCGACAAAAGTAATAAATGCAAATTTAGGAGAAATAATATCCCATTATATTGCAAAATATCCCAATATCCTAAAATTAAGATACCATTTTTTATGATAATTGTTAGACAAATGAAAACAATGGCCCTGGACAAAAATGATAACATGCTTTGTGCTTTGTTGCACAACCTTTAGAGACACTGCAATCAAACAATTTCTCGAGCTCGTGCGCTTTTTGTTTTGTCCCACTTCTCATGAGAAAACTGCTGCAGCTGTTTCAGCTTTGAAGTGTGCCTCCTTCCTCAGTTGTTGAAAAATAATTTAGATCAGGGCTCATTGAAGGCCATTGCCCATTTCAGAATAATATAATGTTTTGTTTTCAGCCTTTTTTTGGTGATTTTAGCTTTGAGTTTTGGAGGAGAGCAAGCTTTTTGACACTACGCAATACATTTCACTACAGAGGTTTTACAAACAAAAAAATAATTAAATGCACAGGTACGGTTATTGAACAGGGTGCTCTATTATCGCCAAAAGCCTCTCAAAATATCCACCCTCTCTGCTTCATTCTCGCCCGTTTCGTGTCTCCATCTTTATGGCCATCCGCTTGACAATTGTGCCATGCTTTTTCCAGTGAAGCACATCAGTTGATGTGTGGCGTTCAATCACGTAGCGTGCAGAAGTGCGGTGGCTACTATAAGAATTTTTTTTTTCAATTGTCCATTGGTTTCAGCCATATCACTCAGTATGCTGTGGGCACACTTGGTACAGTGTTATTTTATTTGTATACAACATTCTATAAACATAGAGTTGAAGTTAACTGGCCAAAAAGTTCAAGTTCTGCTTTGTGTAACAGAAGCGTTGTAGTTTGTCATCAGTATGCATTTTTGGCAAATTCCAGTTTCATCAGCTTCAGTTGTTCTCAGGGACCATTGTTACTTTCACCTTCTTTAAAAAATAGGAAAAGTGGACAATTTTCTTGATAGAAGACCAGTGGTCCAGATGAAGGATTATAGAGCCATATTTACTCAGAGTGACTGCTAGGTGGTCAAAGGACAATCTAATGTCTTGTGTAATTTTTATGAATAAAATACAAATGATATTTTAAAAATAAAACACATACTGCCAGGTTACATCAATACAGAGGACACAAGTCAAATGACGAAGGCACTGATGTGTCAAATCTAGGTCCGGAAAGTAAAAATTAAAACTGCCACAGTTTGACTTGAGCCACAGGTGATTCTACTAAAAAAAAAAGAAAGAAAAAATTAAAAGGGGGCTTGACCCAGGTTTGCGCCCAGAATAGCTCCATGCGAACAGCAGATTATTTTCCATTCTAATCGTTTTTTTAAAGATCCCCTCGAGGGAGAAGAAAGGCCCTTACTCTGACCGAGGGGAATAACCTGAACTTCATATGAAGGATATTCTCAAATTGAACACACGCACAAAAAAAAAAAAGTGACTCTATTGCTCAATATATCCGAAGGGAGGATCACATACTGATCCTCTGATTAGCATTTCAGTGGAGGGGTGACTTAATTGAAGAGCTCCATACACAACAAATGCTAAGAAACAAAACTATATTCGGCTTTTGTCTGCTTTGGTAAGCTAAAAGACTAATTGTGCCAGATGAGATGAAGGTGATGGCACAACAGATCGCATGAGTAGTGTTTTGGATATGAACACTTGATGTATGGTGAAGGGACAATTTTGGCTCGGTTCACTTGATTATACAACCATATTTATGCAGTGCCATTTCATTAGGTATACACATGTCCGATATAAAAAAAAAAAAAGTTTATTATTGTTATGATATAAGTGGGTTAGTTTCAAATGTTTAGCTTACATTCTTTAGCAAAATTGTATGGACATAAATGGCATTACTATATTGTGTCTTGGCTACTTTTCATAATGTTTATGAGAACTGTCGCGTACAAAAATGTTTCAGAAAGTTCATGTGTTCATAGGTGCAACTCCTTTGGGGCACCCGCCAGGTGTGGATTTGTGCTCACCAAATCCTTGCCAAAACCGAGCCTTGTGTCAAAGCCGCGTGGATGGCTACGCATGCTTCTGTGTGCCGGGCTTCCAGGGTGCTCACTGTCAGATTGATGTCAACGAATGCGTCTCCCAGCCCTGCATGAACGGAGGCACCTGTGTAGACAGAGTGGGCCGCTACTCCTGTCTATGTGCCACTGGGTTCACTGGTGAGTTAACAGTTGAGATGGGCATTCCGTCTCCCATTTTTTTTTTTTTGGATTGATGGCCAGTCGTATCTGCAACAGCCAATCACGGCGTTATTGAAAATAAGGTTCGGTAGGCAGGAGTATATGCGATGAATACGTCAATGTTTGCATGCGAGAGTCCCGCACGTCTTTCAAAGTTTGGAATTATTTAATGTTGCAAGAGGTGTGTTTTGTATTTTATGGACGATGCATTTCTCTCGTGAAGTGACATACAGTAAGCTTTGTAGTGAGGGCCTCTTTGAAGAGGGAAGGCACCCTCAAATCTCTCATGCTTAGGCGACCATTCCAATACTTTACATGTAAGACACGCATTTTGGTCTCACTTACAATGGATAGAAAACGTCTGCTCAACTGCCAGGTTTTTGTTGAATTAAAAATTGAGACCAAGATAATTCATTTGGACATTTGTTCATGTATCAGCCAGAAAAAGGGTACCAATGAATTTCCAAGGAATTAAATAAAATGGAACAAAAAGAAAAAAAAAAAAGAGTAATCGATGCATCATCAAGTAGCGAGAATATGACATAATACTGACATTACCAAGAAATGGATGCAAAGATGGTCAGGGAGGCTTCCAAGAGGCCAACAATAACATTGAAGGAGCTTCAGGAATTTCTGACAAGTAGTGGCTGTTCCGTTTCATACATGTAACAAGAATCTAGTGTCTTCTTCGTTATGAATGTGATGACACTCTTAGTTTGTTGCGTGTGAGCTGAGTACAGATTATACGTCATACAAATGGTGTTTTGTGAGTGAAGAAATGATTTATATTGGGTCCATTTTTCTAGATCACAAAAACCTGGCATTTGAACAGGGGGGTGGAGACTTTTCTTTTACCGACTGTGCATTAGTGACCTGACACTGTCACGCACACGGTGGCGTGTCTTTTTTGTCGCACATCGCAAAAGCTTCTGTGGCATAAAAGCAGGTCTGATCACAGCCAGTCCACGTAAAAAGCCCGTGCCATTTTGCACTCTGACATCTGTGTTGCTTTCATTGTCTCAGGGGCCACTTGTGAAGTCTCGATTGATGAGTGTCAATTACAGCCGTGTCTCAATGGCGGCAGTTGCCACAGCAACACTGGTGGCTTCATTTGCACCTGCCCGCCCAGTTTCCAAGGACACCGGTGTGAAATCAACATCGATGAATGCCACGACAAGCCGTGCCAAAATGGGGCTCTGTGTATAGATGAAGAGAATGGGTGAGACATCAGGAATTGACAATCAATTGCCCACTACAAATATTAGAATCATGTGGGGAGGTTTTTTTTCGACACGCTTGGTTATACAAGGGTTGGTTTAATGCGTTGAGTGTGACTGTGTCCCAGATATAGCTGCGACTGCTCACAAACAGCCTTTACTGGTAGACGTTGTGAGGGCCTGAGACAACAATGCCACTCTCAACCCTGTTTCAACAGTGCCACCTGTATGGAGAGTCAGGATCATTACACCTGTCAATGCTTGCCAGGTAAATTACAATTTGATTCCCATTGCATGGATACCGACAGCACAGATGATGAAATATCCTTAGCAACTCATAACTTTCACCATCATTGTTTTTTTTAAATTAGTTTTCATTCTCTTGTGGTGTTAATTTCAATATACTCTTACTGTATTACATTGGGATAGAGAAATTATATTAATTTGACATTTTCCTTTTCTCCAGAATAGAGGTAAAATGTTAAAACAATGGTAATATTTAAGTACAGCAACATGTACATTTGAGAATTTTATATCGTGCCGTTTTAGTTTGGTTACTCCATTTAGCTATATGCTAGCTCGACACATCTTTTGGTATCTACTGTATGTATATGTTGTCGATAGCATCCTTATTTTGCGTCTTCATTTCAGGGTTTGAGGGTACACTATGTGAAATAGACATCAATGAGTGTGGCAGTAACCCGTGTTTGAACGGGGGCCGCTGCATCGAGAGGTCATGGCACGTCCTTTTTGGCATCGAACCGCTGTTACCTGAACGCTACGACCCACGGCACGCTGCAGGCTACATCTGCAGCTGTCCTCCAGGAACAACAGGTAGTCTATTCTGATGAATCCACTGCGGTTATTTCAACGTGTCAATGGGTTTGACTGATGGTGTCAGTGGTATCCTGAGCCTTTTGCAACCTTGGCTGACACATACAGTGCCGAAGCGTTCTGTTGTGACAATAAGCAATGTATGCACAGGGTAAGGAATAAGATCAACATCGGGTTATGTAATACTACTTTGGATGCTGAGAAAGGTTAAAAAAAAAAAAAAAAGCATTCCAAACCTTAAAAATAACATCTAATACAGTATATCACATATTTACACTGTGTGAGACCGCAGTGGACAAAATTACCGGCACATGAAATGTTTTGATACATTCCAACAGGATATTGTTGGTGCGCCGTTCACAGACTTGTTTAACCCCATGTGCCTTGAGTATTACTTTTGGGTTACAAAAGCAGAATATTTTTATTCCGGTTTACACAAAACTTGATTTTGGAATGACGGTAAGTTAGTCTGTGAGTCGCCACGGATAGTGTTACTGTATGTTCTAAAATGGACTCCCTCCCAGTGGCACTGACTCAAGAAGGTGGCCAAATAGTATTAGTGTAATCCCCAGGATCTGCCTTTGCCGGTCTCCACCTATTCAGCTCTGCGCGGGTGCATAGAAGCAGACAAGGAGCAAGACTCTATTGCGACAGCCTGTGCCCACTCACACTAATATGGTGCACTTAGACAAGTTTGGGGCATCTCTTGGGGAAAGAGTGACGGCATGATGTGGATACACACACCATGGATATGGGCAATTCTGTTGCTTCGATCAGGTAACGGTAATAATTGGGTGAAGTGTAGGGTAGCATCTGTTCACCTTGTTTGTTGTCTCTCTTTCGTATAGTAAGTGCTATGGCTGTAGGGCAAGGATTATTATTTTTTTTAATAAAACTAAGTCTGTAAACACATTCAAGAGAAGCAAAGTTAAGAGGATAATACAGATCATAGGAGAGTTAAGTAACCGCGTGGGCTAGTTAAGTGTGGCTATTCTCGGTAATGTGAAGATATGGACATCAACATGGAGAGCTGGTTGAAAACCCGATGGTTTTGCTTAGTTTTAGTTTTATATTGGTTGGAGCAATAGAATCACTTTGAGAGGAGTCTGTGATAAGTCAAACAAAGAGTGTGATAAAGCAAAAGGTAAATGTCCAATGTTAAAGACACTTTTTCTACTTGTACTACTGTAACTCATACCAGGCATATTCTTCTTCTATGTGTGACTTACTTTTTAACGTAATGGAAATATTTACATTTAATTTACATTATAGTATTTTGTGGCTCAAAAGGACCCTTTAAAAGCTTAGCATTCTAGAAAAGTATTCTTTTGTATGTGTTTGACAAAGTGACATTTAAATGGTTATAAGTGTGTTTTACCATCAGCAGACAATGTCACAATACTGTATTTACATTTCTGGTGTTTCAACTGGTTTGACTGTTTTTGTAGAATTTTGGACAAAATGTGTTCACTTTAGTCCAAAAGTTGGCAGGTTTTGGGGTGAATTGTTTTGTTTTTATTATTGGCTTATGTGTTTGTTCGTTACACTCTTAAAATAACAGTCTAAGTCATATTTGGCCCAAAATGATGCTTTTTTTGTTGTTGGTTTTTTTTTTTTTTTTTTTTTGCCATAAACATGTCCCCAGGATGCTGCGGCCAGCCCTGCTAAAATCGTCTATGTTCTACGTGAAACAGATTTTTCAATTCTAACCCTGAAATGAAATTACAGTACTCCTAAATATAATATAATCAGTATTTGGTTGCGTTTTTCGTGTGTTCTGGGGGAAAAAAATAACTTTGGTTATCATTTTCGGAAAGTGACGATAATTGAAGATAATACAGTGGCCTGGAGTCCTTGGAATGGTAAAAAAAAAAAAAAAAAAAGTTGTGGGAAAATAGTCTACTTTTAATTACACTGTAATGATATGCGTTTTTTCTGCTAAATTCCTGTGATTTAATTCATTCCACAGGTTCTCTCTGCCAGGAGCTCATAGACCACTGTGATCCCAGTCCATGTCTGAATGGGGGGAGGTGTGAGAACCACGATGGGGGGTACATGTGTCACTGCAGCAAACAGCGTAGCAAACCCCACCTTTATGGAGGTGCAAACTGCGATGTTCGGCTGGTGGGTTGTGACGGCCACGAGTGCCAGAACCAAGGCTCCTGCAATCCCTTCCTGCTGGACGAAACTCACGGCTACACATGCTCCTGCTCACCCGGATACACCGGCCCCCTCTGCAAGACCCCCACCACCTTCTCATTTGAACGTAGCGGCTACCTTCTGCTACAGAGCCCCTTTGTGGATGCTGAAATCTCTTGCAACATCACCCTCAGCTTCAAGACCGCTCTTCCCAGGGCTATATTGTTCCAGCGGAGCATTCGGGCCCTGTTGCTGAGCCTGGAGCTGCAAGGGGGGCAGCTTCACCTCACACTTAGAAGGCAAGCTGTCGCCGGGCTCCAAGTGCAGAGTCGAATTGGGGCTTTGGAGCTGTCCCACACAGTCACCGATGGAGAATGGCATAGTGTCGAGGCAGTGCTTACAAACCGGGTGCTCAGTCTGAGACTCTTGAATGATGCGGTGGCAAAATGTGAGAGGCAGTTGTGCTATAAGGTGGCTCCAGTCCCGAATAACTTGGATGGCCTGGTGTCGCCCCCTCAGAACACCTTCATTGGAGGGGTGCGAAAGGACTCAAGCGAGGACTCCTCACTTCCGCCATTCATTGGTTGCATGCGGGATGTCTTGGTGGACTGGCAACTGATTGTCCCGGAGGAGTGGCTGAGTGACTCTGCAGTGAACGTTTCTCCTGGCTGCAGCCACCGTGACCGCTGCTTAGATGTGCCTTGCCAAAACAATGGGCTGTGTGTCAACTTGTGGCAGAGCTATCAGTGCCTGTGTCCAAGGCCTTACGAGGGCCAAGACTGTGAAGAGGGTACGTTTTTATATGAAGGGGTAGTCAATGACAAAATTCAGGATGACTCCAGAAATCCTCTCACGCACATGACTGGAGGGCTCAGACTCACGACTAAAACACTCACACGACCGATTTTTTTTTTGCTCACACGAACTACTCAAAGATTGTCATACACACTACTGACACCGACAGTGTGAGTTTTTCAATCATTCCATGAGAGTAATTCAACAATAGTCATGTGCATGAGAGGTTATCATGAATTTTGTCCCTGAGGGCCCCTCATACATTTCAGAACCGCACACACCGGCCACTACAACTCAAGCTTACTGCAATCGCAATTTTTATTACTCCAGTTTGGTGGAGAGAGCTGTCTCATGTAGCTTTATAAACACCACTTCAAACTACTCTACATTTTATTTATAAAAAAAAAAACTCTCTGTTCCTTTTCAAGAAAATGATCTGTGACCCTGTCATACCAACAAAGCGTCTTTTCCAGGGTCTTAACTGTGGTGATATACATCAGTCTGCTAACACAAGCAACTAAAATAAAACACACCAGAAATAAAATATTAATCTGTCGCTAGTCGTTTTCAACAAAGAGAGTGTCGCTAAAATGATTAGAAGAAGTCTCCAGTTCAACTCAGAACAGAGTGAGAATTGAAAAATGCTCCCACGGATGCCTACACCGAAAGATTGGTGATTGGCTCATTTGGCTGTCAATCAAAAGGAGATACAGCCTCAGACAGATCATCCAATCATCATGCAGAAAAGCTCAGCGTCCTGGCCGGCCGATACACGCCCACTGCCCATAGACTCCCAGAGACGTTGAGCGTCTGATGGGCGGGACAAAACGAGCATTTATCCAATGACTCGTCTCCTTTTAATGCATTGGGACAACCTACCCTGAACTCTCTCGACGCTCAGCGTCCACACAGTTTAAAGCACAAGCACAGTGAAGCTGCGGGAATGGATGAGAAGAGAGTCGCGTCGTAACCAGTAATAAAAAGCTGATTCGGAACAAAAGTTGAGTGCGTTGTAGCGCATATTTAGTCAATGACATGTCCACACAATTGTACGTCCACACATATATTTGATCACTTACTTTTTGACATTTTAGGGGAAGCTGAGCTTCCCTTGCAGTCTTAGAGCAATTGCCTCTGATGTACAGGTAGCAATGCACAAAAGAGAAACGCTCCGAAATGTTCAGACTGTATTAACACAATTTACTGTAATGGAACAAGTATTTGAATTTAGATTACAAATGTACAAGTAGGTCCGTGCCTTGCCTTGCCGGCTGTTTCCGCTCACTTCAATTAAGATGCAGTTTGCCTTGTCTTTTTCCTCACCTTCAGAATATGTGACTGCACGCTTCGGGAGCGAAGACTCACTCAGTTTCGCTGCCTTCAACGTCACAGATGACCTCGGTCAGGGCCTCTCAATGTCTCTCTTCCTGCGTACACGGAGGACTGGCGGCCTCCTGCTTGCTGTGGGCAACAGCAGCATGCAGTACCTGCGCGTGTGGCTGGAGCACGGAGTGGTCACGACTCAGCTCGGGAACGTCAAGAGCCTGAGGGGCGAGAGCGCGGTCAATGACGGTGAAGTTCACTTTGTCAATGTTGAGGTGGTGAAGGGGCAAATGACGCTGCACGTGGATGCTCACAAACAAGCTGAGGTGGAGGCCAGGGCAGATGGGGTTCAAGCAGGAGACATCGTCTACGTTGGAGGTCTGCTTAAAGGCGATTCCACTGCAGCTTGGGGGGGACCTTTTAAAGGATGCATCCAAGACTTGCGGATAAATGACAGGAGGCTGCAGTTTTTTGGTTTGGACACTTCAGTGACAACGTTCCCTTTGCAACTCATGGAGAATGTGACCGCCGGCTGCTCTGGAGACAACATTTGCAGCGTAAGGGGAACTCCTGAACTCCTTTTATTACCTTTCATTAACTGTGTTTTGAAAAATTTACACTCTGAGCAAAATAGGCTGTTGGATCTTGACTTAAAGGGGTAGTCAAGCCCCAAATTGTCTTGATAAGATGATGTTCTATCTAGCCCTATTAGTGTAAACACGTCATTCTGATTAATAATATTACGTTTGTGGAAAATGACTTAAGCAGTAAAGTCCACAAAGGCAATATGAATCAGACTGCCGTGTTTAGACTTGTAGTGTAGGCACATAGAACATATTTTCAAGAAAATTATGGGGTTGACTTCCCCTTTAAGAGTACAGTTGACCCCTGCATACTTGCACTTGTGATTTGTATCCGAGGAAAATGAGTTCTCGCTTGGTCACGGTATTAATCAAACTCACAATTCAAGGTACAAGCGTATTGGACTTAAGTTGCATTTCATGGCGAATACAAAGTTTTCAAAACGGGCTAACACGGCCCCACTTCTATCATCATGTCTCTTCTTCAGAGGAACCCTTGTCTAAACGGCGGCATGTGTTACAACTTGTGGGACGATTTCACCTGCACGTGCCCACCCAGCACAGGAGGGCGACACTGTGAAGATGTCAGATGGTGCGAATTGTCGCCGTGCCCCGCAGACGCTGAGTGCAAGATACTCAACCAAGGATATGAATGTAAGTAAAGCCACCAGCCGGATGCTAAGATTCATTCCATTTCCATGCAAAAGACAGTTAAGTGGTTTTGTGGACTCACATGCCACAACATTGGACTCAAAATGTTCCGAGCAGCTCTTAGTATGATGATTATCCGCAAGTGTAAACTCCAATAATCCTATTGTTACAACAATACCTCTCTGACAGTGTCAATTTATTTTATTTGTCAAGGAAGAATTTGTAATACAGTAGGGGGTCCAGGTGTTAACTAATCAATCACGGTAACTAATTGAGTCACTAATTCATTGGAGGATTTCGGAATTCTGATCTGATTTTGGCCACATTTGTTCGTTGCATATAGTCACTGTACTGTGAAAAAAAACATTGTCATAATTTATACTCAAATACTCAAAACAACCAGTTGGCAAGCTTCAGCAAGCTTCCTAATTGGATATCCCAGCCATAAAAGAAAAAAAAAACATAGACAATACTGAAAAAAAAAACATGCTTTTTTCTCTCTCTTTCTTTGAGCAGAGATTGTGCCGTTCCATGTCACAATCAAATAGGTCGTGACTCAGCCAAACTTGGTGTTGACTGCACTTGGTGTAACATTAGCGATTATTGGCCCGACCGTTTTCCTTGCAGACCTGAAAGGAAACGTACACAGCATAGTCTTACAAAGACATATCTGATAATCGGGGCTTTGCTTTACTTTACTTTGATCGAAAGAGAGGAAAATGCTCAATCTTGGCTGAACCATTAGTACGTACATATGTTGCTCTCTAAACTAAATGCATAAATGTGAATAAAAGTCATCCAACTAAAAATAAACTCAAATAAGGTTCCTAAATGGTGTGTCAAAGTGCCATGTAGTAGCTCATGTGTGTTTTCATGCCCTCCTAGGTTACTCCAATGCCACTTTCCTGAATGACAGCACTGTGCTGGTCTATCGAGGAAATGGACACATATTACGCAACCTAACCAACCTCTCGGTGAACTTGCGCACTCGGAAACGCAGCGCAGCCATCCTTCACGCCGAGAAGGGCCCTGCCTTTGTCACCCTCTCTGTCCAGGATGGCTTCCTCTTTATGGAGCTTCAGAGTTCCACCAGAGATGCAGGAGTGTCGGGGGAAGACGAGCGAGGAGAGTCCACAATCAGCCTCAACAGCATGAGACCTGTCAGTGACGGCGAGTGGCACAATGTCCACTTGTTTATGACGGCACCGTGGGCTAATATGTCTCAGTGGACTCTGGTGCTGGATGATGAAGTAGATGAAGCCGTCACCTCCATTGGTCAAGGGGGCAATCTGGACTTCCTCAGGAAGGGAGTAGACATCTTCCTGGGAGGTTTGGCGCCTGACGTCGGCTGGTCACTGGCAGGGTGTCTGGGCACGGTGGAGATGGGCGGGATTGCGCTGCCTTACTTCAGCTCTTCTCAGGTGAACCTTCCACGCTTGCAGGAGGAGAAATTCATCCAGACGTCCCTCAATCCGCCGCTGGTCGGTTGCAGCGGGGCGTCCGTATGCACGCCCGACCCGTGCTTGAATGGAGGGGAGTGCCAGGACTTATTTAACTCCTACAACTGCAGCTGCGCTGAGGGCTGGGCAGGGAGGCACTGCGGCTTCTTCATTGACACCTGCGCCTCCGGTCCTTGCCTCCACGGCAACTGCAGCATCAAGGGGCTGAGCTACGAGTGCTCTTGCGAACTCGGATACACAGGGGTGGACTGCGAGGAAGAGGTCGATATCTGTGAAAACCATCTGTGTGCCCATGGAGGAACCTGCTTGCATGGACCTGACAGCTATGCTTGTCTGTGCGCTGAAAACTTCACCGGACCTCTCTGCAAGTAAGTTCAGCCTGGTCAAAAAAAAAAAGACGCATCAATGATTCATTCACCAGTTCCTTCTTAGGGGTGCACTGGCACAATTGATAACAGCCGAAACAGGAGCATTTTTTTATTTTTATTTTTTAATGAAAATGATGAGCAAAAGGGCACAGTACCAGAAAAACCCAAATTGTTCCCCCAAAGAGAAAGAGCAGAGGCACATGAGACATCCATCATATTTCTTCCTTTGGCCGTGATACACTACAGAGTTTCCTAGAAATCATTTATGTTGTTTCTGAGCTGCAAAGTCACGGTGGAACTTAACGATCGCAGACTGAGAGCTGCTCCTTCTTTAGGGTTTATTTTATCTAGTTACACGAAAATGGAACATTTATCACACAGACCTCCGCTAAGGCCGAAAAATGCTCATTTGGGTTTGGATCATCATACTGGAGAGATCTATCTCCCGAATATGTCAAAAATGTGCCACTTGATTTTTTTCATCATCATGAATGAAGGAAATTACCGTATTGGCCCAAATGTAAGACGGCCCTGATTATAAGACGACCCCCTCTCTTTCAAGACTCAAGTTTGAAAAAAGACTTTTTGAACACCAAATTAATTTTTATACAGAAAATAATTACAGTACATCTGAAACAAATGATTATAACAATATAGTTGAGAGAAAAAGCATGTTATTTTGCCTCATTCAAATCAAAAGTGCAATCACATTCGTAAATGAATGGCTTCTGGTTTTTGAAATGTAAATTACATCATAACTTCTCCTCAGCTGCCGGTTAACCTGGCCGATCTTCGACCCACTTTTCTCCAGATTGTCACTACGTTTCTCCATTTTCTGTTATCTCTTCTATTATTTTCTTCTCTTTTCCTTCTTACCGCTATTTCTTATTTTTCTTCTTCGTGCTACCGCTATTTTTATTTTTATTCTTTGTGGCAGGGGTTCACTTTGGCCTGGGGGGTCAAGTTCAGCATTCGCTTCATTGATATCTGGCGCCATCTAGCGCCGTGAAAGGGTATAATTTCTAGACCCCGAATATAAGACGACGCCCACCTTTTCAGTCTTATTTCAATGCAAAAAACACCGTCTTATATTCGGGCCAATACGGTACTGACTACCGGTAAACTTTTTTAACAAAGTCAACAAAAGAAACACGCTGCACCCGTCCACAAAATGAAGTTGTGAAAGTCATGAAAACCTCGGCGTTAACATATTGCCAAATGATCCCTGACTGTCTCAATCAAAGGCGATGCTTTCCAAGCAGTATTGCAATTTTAAGTCTTTGTTACAGCTCTTGCAATGGATTGCATTCAATTGTGTCCCGTGATATTTTTCCCCACGCATCATTGTCGATGTGATGCAAACTACATCTTTGTGCGTCAACGATTGGAAGAGGAAACATTTCATCCTGTAATGACGACTTTTGTCACTATCTGAACAGTTTTAGGAGCGCGGTTAGTTAGCAAACGCGCACACACACACACAGATACACACAAAAAAAAAAAAAAACGATGCTAAATTGTGGAGTCGAGGGACCGCACCATAAGACAGACAAGATGCTACACTTGCTAACGTTCCTCCACGGCTGTCGACGCCTGCAGCAAGCTCATCTGAAGATGAATTTCTATTCTAGTGTCAGCCAGAAAAGGTCTTCGTCTGCTGCGGTGTCTCACTGGTACAGCGGCACTTTCTTTCCCTCTCATCTCCTGTTTGCCTCGGAAAACAGGCAGGGGAACGCCGCCAACCATTTATCCCATAAACACGCAGCTCCTTGCATTTTCTTTTTTTTTTTTTTTTCCTGTGCACGAGAACCTTTGCAAGCAAGCCACCCGACAAGTGGAGCCGCACGTCTCCCTTCACGGGGAACATCCACGCTGTAAAGTTTTCATCAAAATGACTTTGTTTTGTTTGTGTCGCTTTCTACCTCCTTCCCCCATCTTTCCTTGTGTTCCTCTCCAGCGAACGGGTTGAAGAAATTCCTTGGTACGTTGTTGTCAGGAATATGTAAGTATTTATTTATTTATTTATTTTTTTACCTTTTTCTCAGGTGCTCCCCGTTTGTTTCCTCCTTTGTTTCTCCAATGCCGTGCACAACATCTTTCTTTTTTTGGCAACAAAATGCCAAGCAAAGCTAATATTAACACTGCCTCCTCCACTGTTTGTTTAAAAACACATACCCACAGTCGAGAATGAGTGACAGTTGCGGTTTAAAAATGATTGTTGTTGTCCCAAAGTTGTATACGTTTGTCAAAAAGAAGGCAGAGGAGAAAAAAAAATGTTGTTATTTAGGGATGAATTCCACATTACCAAAAGACTGCTCCACAGTGACATGTTTGGCCTTTTCTTTCCTCTGCGTGAGATTTTGTTACGTGAGGTAGATAATCTGATTACACTGGCCAGGTTGTAAGCTTCTTTTGCCTCTCCGGTGTGTTACAACACGGAATCAAACAATACAAGTAGTCGCACATGACTGTTTTGTCTGGCTCCAGCTGACACATTTGACAACAAAGTGCCTGGTGTCAGTTTTGGTTTTTAATCTGCATGTCGGTTCTTAGGCGCCCCAAGCTTCCTGTGTCTGTTTGTGGAGATGACCTCAAAAACTACACTTGCTTCAATGGTGGCAACTGCACTGAGCGCGAGTTGTCATGTGATTGCCCACCTGGCTTCGCTGGACACCGGTATGACAGACACCAACTTGGAATTTTGTCGCGAATTACGATAAGGTTTCAAAAATAAATGGTCAATGGGCTGTCATTTATAAAGCACTTTTCTACCTCGGGGACTCAAAGCGCTTTCATAATGATAATAATAACACATTTATTTTGAAAGTACTTTTCACAGTACAGTACTCAAAGACACTTTACGAGAGTTTAAAACCCGGGATAAAAATGTACACGTTAAAGCAAAGTATACATGATTTAAAACAAACACATTTTGAAGAAGAAAACAAAAAACAAAGCAAAAATGGGTTAAAGAGATTAAAAGATGTTAAAAGCCTTGCGGAACAGGTGAGTTTTAAGAAATGATTGGAAGGATTGGATTGGTACAGTTGCGGATGTGTTGTGGTAGAGTTCCCGAGGGTGGGGGAGGCGACAGAGAAGGCTCGGCTTCATAGGTGAGTAGGAGGAGTTTAAACTGAATACGATGGGGAACGGGGAACAAGTGGAGGTTTTTAAGGACGGGGGTGATGTGATCACGGGTGCGGGAGTGGGTGAGAAGGCGGGCGACGGGCATTCTGGATGTACTGCAGTTTATTGAGGAGTTTGGAGGTTGTACGGTAGAGGATGCTATTGCAGTAGTCAAGGCGGGGGGTGATGAAGTCGTGGATGGGGGGGATTGAGCGGCATTGAAAGAAAGTGAAGGGCGGAGGCCAGAAATGTTTTTGAGGTGGAAGAAAGCAGTTTTGGTGATTTGGGTGATGTGTTGGTCGAAAGAGAGATTATTATCAAAAAAGACACCAAGGTTGCGACAGTGAGAGGAGGGGAACAGGGCGGAGTTGTCGATAGTGAGGCTAAAGCTGGAGGCTGTTTGGGTGAGTAGGACCGATTATTAGCAGTTGAGATTTAGTGCAGTTAAGAATGAGAAAGTTTGCCTGCATCCGGGATTTGAGATCAGAAAGACAGTTGGACAGGGTGGAGCGGGTTGTTGGGGTGAACGATTTGGTGCAGATGTATAATTGGACGTCATCAGCGTAGCAGTGGAAAGAGGAACTTACACCGTTGCCTCATTCGCCTACTGATGACGCAGCATCCAGAGCAACTGGGGATTCAACATCTTGCTCAAGGACACTTCGACATGGTCGCAATGGCCAGGGGTTGAACCACCAACCACCAATTAAGCAGGAAAATGTATGAATAGTAGGTTTCCACACCAGCACTCAGGCTAGCGCTGTCTTAGCCTATAAGCATGAACTGATGAAGGGTGCTCAAACCTCGTCCAAGACGGTCTTAACAGTCCAGTTGCCCTCATAATAAAGTGACCTGGTCGAATGAAACTATTCAGAGAAAGTTTTTCAGAAAGCCAATTTACTTTGTACTTTATTTCACCATTTCAAAAATATTTTTGCCAAATCATGTTTTTTTAGATATTTGTCGGATCACATTGATAAGAATTACGTAGATTACTGTACATCTGAAAATGATAATTTGGGGAAAATCATATTTTAAACCTGCAGTATCAAATTTGAGATAGATGAGTTCATGTAATATAAAGAACAAGTTACATAATGAAAATGCATGTATCAAATATGATACAAATGGCATTATAGGGTTAAGTAATACGTAAATTGGAGTTAAATTGGAGTTCTTCATTGGAAGTAACCTTATAATGCAAATTTCCCCAGTGTGGGACTAATAAAGGTTATCTTATCTTATCTTATAAGAAAAGTTATTTGATAAAGATGATTTAAATATTTGACTCTGTGTTAGTCTTTTTAGCATACTCAGCGTTTCACTTACTTTTAACTCGGTTTTCCACGACATTCAAACTTCTTCCAGTAAATCCAAAAAATATGAGAAGTTTCTACTAGTAACCCCGCACTAATTTCCGACTAAATGTTTTCCACATCAGACAATAAGACTCAGCAAAATAAGGGCATCCATGTGTTGCAACTGTACATAAATAATTACATGCTGTATGCAGAAGTGATTGCAAACAGCAGGGCTGTAAAGAGCAAAAAAAAAAAAAAAAAAGAGTACAGTGTTACCTCAATTTCACAAACTTCAAACCAACGGACCCCAGAACAGACACAAAATAGTTTACAGTCTGCATGGCCCATTATGATGTTGCTGTGTATGTCTCCAGAATTGGCCACAATTTGCCACAGTGCCAGTGAATGACATGTTTCCGGATTGTGGTGCTGCTCTCTTCTCATAATTTGTAGATAAATGGATTTATAGTAGACGAGAGGAGAAAATAAAAAAAAAGGACCAACGTGGAGGCCTTGTTGGCTGGGGAGAGCGCCCCTTCAAACGTAATGGAAAACATGGATGCTAGCTTAGCATCGCCATTGACACGGAGCTTAAAAGGAGCATGTCGCATCAATGTATTCATGTCTATGGCTGTTACTGCTTTTACTGGTTGTTTTTACCTTATCCGTACGCACTTTAATGATATTTCATGATGAAGAAATACAACATAAACAATTATGTTGGCTGTAAAGTATGAAATGTTTCTCCATCGCAATGTGCGGTTGCAGGTGCGAGCAGGAGGTGGACGAGTGCAAGTCCAACCCGTGTCTGAATGGAGGCTACTGCCGCAACCTCATCAACAAGTTCCTGTGCGTATGCGACATGAGCTACGCCGGCGACATATGCCAGACGGACGTAAGCGACATTTACTTTTACGTGGCCGTGCTGCTGTGGCAGAACCTCTTTCAGCTGCTCTCCTACCTCATTCTCAGGCTGGATGATGAGCCCGAGGTGGAATGGGGGGACAACAATTGAGTGGGGCACATGTTTATCTATGACAAGTTGTCATTTGTTAAGGTTTCTGTGCCTTCACAATCAAGCACCTTATTTCACACAATAATCACAATAACGAGCACTTAGTTATGATACACAACAGTGCAGAACAATTTTAGTAGACCGCCACATAAGGCAGTGATTCTCAAACGGTTGACCGGGATGCAAAAGTGGGTCGCACACCCGCTTGCAGTGAATAAAAATGTTTTTGTATCATGTTTTATGGGGGGCGGGTACAATACAGAGGCATACCAAGTTACAACGTGGAACTTACATGCTTTTTTGGAGTAGTCCAATTAATTTGAAAAAGCATTTTAAAATACTGCATAACATCCTGTACATGACAAGGCTCAAAAAAAGCTATTTCGCATCGTAGTTTGCAAGGCAAAATGACAATTTTTTTGCCTCATCAAAACACACTGAATCAGGCGAAAAGGGCGTCCGGCGCTACTTACGGTCAGTTAGCTAGCAACAAGTGGCCTATATGGTAAAAAAAAAATACAGCATATTATTATAGTAAATAAAATATATGCAATATTATTGCAGGGTGGTTGGTTAGCACATTGGCCTCACAGTGCAGAGGTTGTGGGTTTGATTATGACGCCAGCCTTCCTGTGTGGAGTTTGCATGTTCTCCCCGTGCCTGCGTGGGTTTTCTCCGAGTACTGTACTCCAGTTTTCTCCCACATTCCAAAAACATGCATGGCAGGTTACTGGAACACTCTAAATTGTCCCAAGGTGTGATTGTGAGCGCGAATGGTTGTTCGTCTATGTGTGCCCTGCGATTGGCTGGCAACCAGATCAGGGTGTACTCCGCCTACTCCCCAAAGACAGCTGGGGTTGAGACACACAGGTTGCCACAGTGCCCAGCGAGATGACTTGCGTCGTCATCCCTTCCCTTACGGACTCTGAGCCAAAGTGATCAACACAATATGTGTCATAAGTGATTATGAGTGTCATCTTGTTGACGAAAGAGCCAAAATGTCATAATGCAGTTTCGGACACGTTAACGTAATCTAATGTTGCTACCACTCTACATGTCGATCTAGTTCAAACCATTAACGTCCGACATAAGAACAACAAACTACACTATGACCTGAGTTTTTCGGGTTGCAACATCCTGGGAAGATTAAAAGTTAGAAAATTGTACATATCAATAAGAACGAGTGGCAGTTCACTGAAATGAATATTAATGAATATAGGTACTAATTACGTGTAGTTAACATTGGATATCTTAAATGTAGCCGGGCCGGGGCTAGGGCATGTTAAAATACTCAAATTGAATTAAAGCTCGGGTGAATTTTGATATGCACGCAATTTACTGCGGGGACAGTCAAGTTAGATTGAAGGTATGACAGGAGGGTACGTTTATTGTATCAAATGTCTCAACTAAACTACTTTCCATGGAGGGTTTCTGGAAGCTTCATGGGATTTTATTTAAAAGAAAAGAAAAAAAACTACAGCCAAAAAAAAAAAAGTGACTTTGAGATCCAAAAATGTCACCCGATGAAATGATCCAAACCAAACATAACCTCCTTGGTGGAGGCAAGAGTGTATTGTTGGGATGTTTCTCCATTTAGGATATCCTGTCAGTCTTTTGTATTGGAATTCCGGGGTGCTCCGAGCAGCGTAGGTGTAAAGACATCTTTTAGTTCTAAAGCAGTGAGAAGGGTGGGGAGACAACATGACGTCTCACTTTGTTGTTGATGTGAATCCGCATCAGTGAATGATTGACTGACAGCTGCACAATGTGTTGTTTTGCTCTTCTTTTTTTTTTCTTGTCTGCAAACGTTTTCTGTTTGAGGTATTTTAAACCTAAATTCTTTGCAGCTCCGCTGAGACGGAACCTACGTATATTCACTGGGCCGTAGTGGTCAACCCTTTGCATAACCTGATTCATCACTCTTCTCCCTCACGTTTTGTGTTTTTCCTCAGTGTCATAACTCTACTACAATGCTCGTTTGTTTTCTGTTGTCAATGTCAGAAACTCTGCTACCATCACTTTGTCATTGGCGTGGTCTAACAATAATAAAACAAATCTTCCTCATTAGTTTGCTTTGTTGTCTGTCCGCTTTTAATCATTCTCTTTCCATTTTCACATTGCGAGCAGCTGCGTGTGTGTGTGTGTGTGTGTTCAGTAATCAAACACCTTCATGGCACCATAAATAGAAGCATAATCTCCTTTAACAAGATGCAGCGTGATTGTATCCCAAAATATTTCAAGCTCCCACTCAAACATGCAGAGCACTTTTTTTAAAATTGACACTGTTAAAAAATATACCTTAGAAAAGTTTGCTCAGGTTACTGCTAACAAACAATGCAAAATGCCATAGACGGGCAAATGAATAGCAACTGTGCCGTGATTGTAACACATCAAGCAACTGATGTTTGAACACAAACATCATGTCTCTCCATATGTGAGTTAGCAACTGTAGATAGACAATATGACAATACTTTATCTTTTGCCTTCAAAAAAATTACAGTAATCGTGAAACTCTTATTTGTATTTGGTATATTACTGCCCTCTTGTGGTCAAGTTGTGTACACCAGAGGGAGCCGGATGACTTAATGATGCTCAACTGAACAATTTATTTGATTGTTTTGTGACGATATGTTTTTATTATGAACAGTATTGCAGAGTGGTATTTAATTTGTCAAAATATGTACAAAATGTTTGTTTTTTTGCGGGGGCTGGAAGTGATCAATGGCATTCAATTAAATTTAATGGAGAAAGATGCTTTGAGATACAAGTGCTTTGAATTACAAAACTGGTCATGGAGCATATTCCTCCTACATTCCAAAAACATGCGTGGCAGGTTAATTGAACACTCGAAATTGTCCCAAGGTGTGAGAGTGAGCGCGGAAATCGTCATTCCATGTGAATGTGAGTGTGAATGCTTGTTAGCCTAGATGGGACATACAATTGCTTGGCAACCAATCCCAACACTGCTGGTATAGGAGCAGTCTTACCTGTGACTTTGAGAGAAATGTTTACAATTTTTGCTCTTAGTTACATCATTTCTTGCTTACGCTCCCTTGTTTCTCGTTTGCGCTTCCAGCCTTTTCTCGCTCGACTTTTAGCACAAGTCTAACGGGTGGGTGGGCTTCATGAGGAATGCGCTCTCATTGGCTGATTAATTTTTGAGTGGACAGGACTCTTGATCATGTGCAGTTCATTCTCGAATGGCCATGTGTCCTCCCCCCCACCCCTCCGCCACGCCCTACTTTGTCCAAGCCCAACTTTTTGTGCATGTGCATGACTCTTGTATAGACCTATCGGTAGAGTCGTTAGGAAGGACTGGGGGTTTGCACTAATGTGGCCACCCAGTGAGAGAAGGGAGAAATATGCTTTGCCTGCGAAAAAGCAGCATCTGGAAATGAAGTGCAGCTTCAGCAGGGAGCTGGTGGCTTTCACAGAAGTTTGGTCTGCTTCACCAGAACATACGAGGGCACCTTATCTGACACACACACACACACACACACACACACACACACACACACACACACACACACACACACACACACTCACACACAAAGCAGGGAGATAGTGCTGACAACAGGGAGGCATTGCCGCTGCCTCTGCTTCCAGGCTTCGGGGTGGCCCCGCCATGTACCTCAGAGACTGGTTAGTTAGACATCTATGTGGCGCGCGTGTGTCTGTGTGTGTGTGTGTGTGTGTGTGTGTGTGTGTGTGTGTGTGTGTGTGTGTGTGTGTGTGTGTGTGTGCGTGTGCGTGTTTGGCAGCGGGTGACTGATGGCGGGTGCTGGCTGCCGGCTGTTGCGGCGGCTTGCTTGTTTCACACTCACTCTGACAGCAAACTGTGCCACAGTGACAGGTAAGCACTTCCCAAAGAAGCTGTATCGAGAGGAGAGGAGAGGAGAGGAAAGTGTCATCGCTGCAGGAGTTAAATGTTGTGTTTTCTAATTGTGTTTCCATGGTGATTGCTGAATGTAAAGTGACCGGGTTGGTAAAAGCTTTTTTTTGACAGCTGCCACTCAAGTGTGACCAGCAACAGCAACTTCTGATGAAAGCCGGTGTGCCGATTTTTTGTCACGTAATGAGTGTTAACAATCAGCCGCTTACTGCATGGCGTGCTTTGGTTTCTCTTGATTGACAAGTAGAAATCTGGTGTTGAGTGTTTTGGGCGGTGGCAATGGTTGCAAAAGTTCTCAGTAGAAGTACAGATACTGTACTCTCAGAATCGACAGTTCAAGTACTAATTCAACTCATGTGTTCCTCCCAAAAAAGTACAGGCTTTGAAATAGTATTACGTTAAAAAAAATAAATAAGCGGCTGTCATTACGTTACATTTGTGTCTTGAAATATGAGTGACTTGACTTTTGGGAGATATGAGCAGCCATTTGGCCAATTATTTTGCTTTGACTTAAAAAAGTAAGCACGCATTTTAGATGTAGATTGATAGTAAGCTCAACTCACTTCCCACCGAGCAGCACTTTGGCAGGTCTAGAACAATTTTTCAAAAGCAGGTTTAAAGCCGTTTAACACCCATCCCAGGTGTGGTTTACTTACAAACTAAACATAAAGCAAAAGAAAGTACACATTGTACACATAGCTTGGCTTTAGATAAGTCATTTTAGCTTAAAGCTAACGAACATTACAAAATGGCATCGACTGGCTAACAAATAGCATTGGTGTTGCGGTGTTACGACACTTTAAGCAACAGATATTTAAACGTAAACGGTGGAGCACCGAGGAGATAATATAACATAACAACACTCACGGGCATACATTCTTCACAGGACGAGCAATATTACCGTGGCTTACTCAGGAGTGACCATCTCAATGAATATCTGCGCAGTATGTCTGTATTACACTGCCTTAAGTGCCCAAAGCAGGCACGCCGGAAGGAACAGCACAATGAATCAAAGTTAAAAAATGTGCCAAAAACTGTTTAATCCTTTACATTTGATTTAATTATGTCATTAGTTTGTCTTTGTAAAGAACGACATTATAGAGTGCTATAGAATGCATATTAAAAAACCCATTACAACCATTTTTGGTGGGTTTTTTTTTGTTTGTTTTGGGAGGGGGCTGGAATGCATTCATGTGCGCGGGTGTTTTTAGTTACAAGCGTGGAAGGATTCAGCTTGTGTCTCAAGGCACCACTGTATATTTTGGTAACTTGACCCAAACAAAATCATTTCTCGGTACACAAAACACTTTACACTTTCATTTCCTGAATGCATGCAGTGCTTGTACGAAGAAGAAAAATCACGTTTCACGTCTCGTGTTGTGTCAACAAAAAAAATAAATACATCTCCTCAATCGTTTCAGGGACATTGGTTACTACAGTGGAAAGCTTATGTTATCAGGCGACAGGGTGCATGAAAGTGTTAAATACACTAAACCCTTTTTACATTACTTCGTGTTACTAAATTAGAATACTGTATTGGCCCGAATATAAGACGGTGTTTTTTTTGCATTGAAATAAGACTGAAAAAGTGGGGGTCGTCTTATATTCGGGATCTTGACATTATACCCATTCACGACGCTAGATGGCGCCAGATATCATTGAAGCGAATGCTTAACTTGACTCCCCAGGCCAAAGTGAACCCGTCACGACGAATAAAAATAAAAATAGCGGAAGCACGAAGAAGAAAAATAAAAAAATAGCGTTAAGAAAGAAAAGAGAAGAAAATAATAGAAGAGATAACAGAAAATGGAGAAACGTAGCGACAATCTGGAGAAAAGTGGGTCGAAGATCGGCCAGGTGAACCGGCAGCTGAGGAGAAGTTATGATGTAATTTACATTTCAAAAACCAGAAGCCATTCATTTACGAATGTGATTGCACTTTAGTTTACATATTTAAATGTTCAGATATTAATATTTGAATGAGGCAAAATAATACTTTTTCTCTCAAATATATTGTTAGAATCATTTGTTTCAGATGTACTGTAATTATGTTCTGTATAAAAGTTAATTTGGTGTTCAAAAAGGCTTTTTTTCAAACTCGAGTCTTGAAAAAGAGGGGGTCGTCTTCTAATCAGGGCCGTCTTATATTCGGGCCAATACGGTAAGTTACAAAGTATTTGTACTTTAACAAAGTATTTGTACTTTGTTACTTCCCACCCCCGGCGGATGCTGAAGCTGTCTATGGTTTGTGTGACGGAAAGAACAATTTCACGGCCATTAAACGGCCCATAGTCAAAAGCGATGCAGCCTTTCCCTCCGAACAAGGCCTCGACGAGCTCTTTTGTGCCGTACCTCTGGCTGTGTTTGCAGAGCGAACACTTTTGGGTTCATCGGGCAGCGTCTTGAGTGCGACTGCGTGTCTGTCTGTGTGTGATCCTCCGCAGACGGCTCTCGCTCCACACGGCTCTCGGGTGGCTGCCGTGCTGGCGCCGTGTCCGGTCGGCCTGGCCGTAGCGTAGGCGCTGGCTCTGGCCGTTGCCCAAACTGCGAGAGAGGCGGCAGACTCGGGGAGGTTTGAGTCTGAGGCAACTGAAAGCTTCCGCCGGTTGCTGCCCTCCTGCCGGGACAGGGAACGCATCCATCATCACTTTGGCTGCGCGCGTGGAACGCCGGGTGGGGGTTGGGGGACTTAGAGCTTGTGTGTGGGGAAAACCAAACAATGTATTTATTTGTACAGTGAACCCTTGTTCATCGTCTCACTCTCTCGCTGTCAAGAAATAGGAGACTGTCGTAGAGGAAACAAAAAGACTCACACAAGCACAGTTCTCAGAGTAGGAGCTCTCAAAATCAGGTGCTTGCTTCAAGCTGTTTGTCACTCCAGGTTGCCACTTGCTGTAAAACTGACACACAAAAAACAAAAGGAGAATTATACATTATACGTTTAAAAACCAAACTACTCAGCCAAATCATGTTATTGTGTCTAATGAATGTCTGCTATCTGAATGCAAACAGAATACTCAACACCAACGACGGGGTAGTTTTGCTAATGCTGCGTAGCAGGAAAGAGACAAGTCAAAAGTTTTCCGATCTGTGACCAGGAAGCTGGAGCGACACTCAAAATGCCCACATCGCAAAGTCTTCACAGAGTTGCTTCAATCGGACGTCACTCGACAATGGCGACCCCAATGGAAACACAGACCGTGAATGGCAAAACACAATTCAAAAGGGTCTTGAGATATATTTGTATGTCTTTACTTATTATTACATTCATGTCGTTATTTGACTGAACTTTATCTAACACGACATGATTTAAATTGACGGCGTGATGCTATGCCGCTACCTCCCTTCATTTGTTATTTGGTGAAATGTATGAAATGCTGATACGATATGATTTTCCTTAACTTACATGAATAAAACAAATTATGAAGGCAGGTTTTCCTGGAGGTGAAAATGAGCTATGAGGAATAAAACATTTTATCGCGTTTAGCCATCGTTGTTATTTACATTTACCTGGAATGCTTTCATGTCGCAACTTGGACAATCTGAGTGGGATAAATCTGAATTGCCATTTTTCTGGACGGCGGCGTCAGTTTTTGAGTGACAGTAAACCCTCAAACTTTACATACGAAGCAGTAACCCAAACAAAGACAGCATACAATAATCACAAGCATATATTGTCTCTGCTTCGTGGGAAAAAATTTGTGATAAAAGTGCAGGTGTGAAGCAACATTGTACCGCAAAAATGCTAACTACCTCACATCTCATCCCTAGTTGACTTCTGAAGGCGTGACCTCTGACCTGCTATTGGCCATCAGTCTTGTGTCTGTCGTCCTGCTGCTGGTTCTCATCCTGACTTCGGCCGGACTGGTGGTCGCGTTGAACCGCCGAGCCACCCACGGGACCTACAGCCCCAGCCGGCAGGAGAAGGACGGATCTCGGCTGGAGATGTGGAGCATCACTCAGCCTGCGCCCATGGAGAGGCTCATCTGAGCAGTGGAAAACATCCGAGGATGACCGAGGAAACGCCTGCGTCCTGGAGTGAGGCCTTCACATTTGTATATGCACATGGTGCAAAATCGTAAGAGCTTTTTGGGGACACCGTTCATCCATCTTGCTGCACCTGCCACGCTAGGCGGCCTTCATTCTCGATATATTCCAGCACACGATGGATGGAGTTTGTGTGTCTAATCTATATTTGGAGGACAGATGGAGCAATGCTTTCCCAACATGTTGTACACATTGAATACATGCTGCTCTCACTTTTTTGTTGTTGTTGCTCCTGAATGGTTCTAATCAAAGTGGTCTCAAGGAAAAAAGTTGAAAACCAGTGTTAGCATTGTATAACGACTCTTGTCAAGCACCTTGAGTGTCCCTTTTTTTTTAAGTCAAAAGTGCATGCATAGAACTGTGGCAACATTTTAAAACACTGTTGACGTGCTGTGCTGAAAATGCAGTATTTTGTCTCAAAGTGGTAGTGTGTTAAATAAACAAACAAAAAAATGTTTTTCGGACAATTGTTTACTGCAGAGTCTAGAGTAGCATCTGAATTTACAGTGATCCGTCGCTACTTCGCGGTTCACTTTTCGCGGTTTCAGTGCATTGCGGATTTGTCAAAAGCATTCATTTAAAAAAAGAAAAGAACGCGAAAATGGCGCAAAAGGTCCGCAAGAGGCAGCCAAAGTTGGCAAAACAGCGAGTCACATAGAGCAACATATACAGTACTACATGTTTATTTCATGTCTATGTTTACTGTATTTTCTTATTTATACACTAACCTAACCTATGCATGTATATATGTGTACATATATATATGAGTATATAGCACTAAGTAATGTTAATTACTACAAACATTTACTTCTACATGCATGTATACCATTAAATTTGGTACACATGTACATATACCTGTGGGGGGGTACCTACTTCGCGGATTTTCCTCTTTCGTGGGTGGTCTCGGTCCCCATTAACCGCGATAAGTGAGGGATCACTGTATACACATACGCACTATCTATCCATAATTTTCTCTCGTTAAGGGTCATCATGGAACCATGCACTAATATGTGGAATTGGATTTGGAGTCGCTCTTTAAAGGCATAATATGGTAATGTAATAGTTTTTACATCGAAAGAATGTGTTTGAACCGAGATGCCACATTATTTATACATTGAAAAAGTTTGTCATTTTGTGCCTTTGTGTATGTAAAATCTACTGGTGAAGGCTAATTTATTCCATCAATGTTCAATGAGGTGACAATTTGCTGTGTGTTCTTTTTGTGTCTGTCACAATCAAATAAAAAGAAAATTAATCAGTAGTCATAGTGAAGAAACTTTGAGCACATTGTCGACATTTCTATTCAGAAAATATGCAAAGCAAAGCATTTGAACTCCAAGTATCGTGTGTGTGAACATATTATAAACAGATGTGCTTGAAAGTGAGTCTAGACATGCAAGTTGCATGAAAGAGAATTTATTTTCAGTTCAGAGTGCATACAAGATGTGCAGTTGTACCAGGTTGGTCATCAACACCTCATCAGACTGACCTCAGTTGTTTTCTCCACAACGAGAACATGCAAGTGTGCACGGAATCAAAACGTACCGGAAAACTCAATTGTTACATGAGTTGATTCATGTCTACGCTGCTACTACACAGATGTTAAAGATACATTATGAAATGTGGTGTGTCTGCAATCAGAAATGCTACGTTAGCACCCTCAGCCGCCGGCGGAATAGCGACAAGCACCAAGAGGTTGCTCTTCTGCCACATACTGAAATGCGACCCCCCCCCCCAACACGCTACTGTCATCATCATTGTACAGCTTTAGTGTAAACAGTCACCTTCGTTTTTCACTTTTCTCACAGCAGTAGTTATTCGCTCATGTATTTTTCTCTCTGGTTTATTTACAGCGCCAATAAATGTAAAAAATAAACTCTACTACAAGGCAGATGATGTTAAATACTATAATGCAATCGGATGCAAGGCAGAACCGACATATTTGTTACACTCTTCTTTTTCTTTTTTTGTTTTCACAGCTAAATACTGAGATAAATACCAAGAATTATGAATGAAGTACATCTGTCAAACGAATAAGGGCCAAGTTCAAACAGACATTACATCCAAGTACTGAACATGCGGGCAGAAACATGAGTGAGTACCGGATCGTAGGCGATACTTTTTTATATTATTGTCTCTTCTTTTTCAGTTTAAAAATAATATATAAACATTCATATTGGACGTCATTTACAACATACAACACCAATTTATATTATTGATGTAAAATATACGCAAGAAAAATACACGTCGGATGAAAATATTTGATATTTTTCAGTTTTTGGCTATGAACACCTCTGAGAAAACGTTTTAAATGCCTTTTTTTGTTTCGACTTAAATTTGGGGGGTGGGGGGGGGAGAAGAAACACAATTAATTTAAACAACTCCTAAACTAATGCAATAATTAAAAAAAAGTGTCTAGCTAGCAGAAGACAAAATAAAAACTACACACAAAAGCAAATGAAATGCCAGGAGGTTCCTCCTGTCTGAAAAACCTCACCTGAGTTCACTTCAGGTCATTTGGTCACAACCATTCTGAAGTTATTTTCACTCATGAAACAATCAGAGGACCAGATGATGATTTGAACATTGCATACTCCTACCGTTCTCTTTAATACTGTACCGGGTACACTCTTATTTTACAAGGCACACCACATTACTGTTGAGCACACACACGCACACACACACACACACACACACACACACACACACACACACACACACACACACACACACACACACACACACACACACGTGGCTACACACACACACACACACACACACACACACACACACACACACACACACACACACACGTGGCTTTTTCCCATTAGAAACTAACTTGACTCGTAATTTTTTTTTTTAGTCAAAGTATTATGACCTTTTGAGTTGGAAATCTTTGCATAGTTACTCTTGTGTTTTAATGTGTGTCAATGAGTGGAGCTGCTGTCAAGTTGCTCGTAGACTTTACCAATGTCCGCTCGTTGAGCTGCTCGCCGCCCACTTTACGAGCAAAGCGTTAACGGGGCAGCGGCGGCCATTCGAGAAATGGCCGCCATTTAAATGCCAGGCTGACTGACGTCTACTCGAAATCACAACAAAAACGGGAAGAGCGCCAAACCGGGCAAAGGGGAAACCCATTTTTTCTTTGTTTGGTTTTTGTTTTGGTTGGGCCCTCAACCCTCCACACGCTGCGTTTCTCTCGCCGGGAGAGTCGGACTGTTACATGTCACATATGTGTGGTACAGTCTAAACTGGGGTACAATCAAACACGCTATCACCAGTGTGCGACTGGAAGCCAGGAAATCTGAAAAGCCGCTGGACCCACATCCTCATTTTTCATGTACTAGTATGCTCTTTGTCCTCCCACTGAGACAATTCAACAGTCTTACTAGTTTTTTTTTTTCCGACTACTGCCATTTTTGGCTCGCTGGTATTCAATTAAACTTTACTAAACCAAATTAAATATAATATAATATTATATATATATATATATATATATATATATAAATTAATAATATAATAACTACTATGCTGCACTTGCAACACAACGAGGCCAAATGGGCTAGGCGTGTGTAGTGCACGAGAATCCTCCTGGACCACACCGGGAACATGTCATTGTCCCTTTAATATGCCAAAGTTGTTCTACTAGTGTGCAAAAACATCACACACTAGTATGGGGAAGATGCAAGTGAGACGGACTATGAAGAAAAGTACTTTATAGTAGTTAGGCAAAATTGCATTATTCGACAACTGCGTGCTACTCGTGAAATTAACCAGTTAACATCTAGTACTTCACGAGTTGTATGCAGATTTCAACGAGTGCAGTTTTGTCTCATGAGTGACATGCAGTTGTCCTCCTAGTATACCACACTGCTGTGTGCACAAATATCACACAGCAGTGGAAAAGCGCTTTAGTAGTGTGTCCAACATCATTGAGTGTGTTGAATTGTCTTACTAGTGAAGACAAAGAGCGTACTAGTACATGGATATTGAATACATTCTTACACAGATTTCAAAAGGGAGAGAAGAAATGGAGCCAACACAAGTTGGACGAAACGACAAGGAGGAGAGTGCAAGCGGCATCGTTTGGGGTGAGGGGAAAAAAAAAGTTACTATTCACATGGACTTCCCTTGTGAGTTTCTACATGCACAGTTGAGTCTATGAAATGTAACTTTGACAAGCATCTTAAAGCACATCATCCAGGAGACACAAAGATTTCAGTCCATCAACATAAACACGCTTACAAGTACCGTTCACGTCTCCAAGCTGACAGATGTCAAGCACGAGTACCTACCAGGCTCTCCAAAGATGAACAAATCATACGTCCGCTTAAGGCACGGTGATTGAAATGGTTGTACACAGTGTCGAAATGCTTCCAAAGGCTCATGAGGACTGCCGATTTTCCTTTTGTCTATATTAATTGAAATACTTGTTAACGGGGGCGGGGCTCGAACTGTCCATCTGAAAAGTGCAAACGTCCGATGCTCCAGTGAAATGTGACGACCTTTGACATGACGATGGGACGTCACATTGCCCCTCCTGTTTCAAGACATCATTTCTGGAATGTGGAAAAACGCAACGTGGGTGCTCATAGTTGCTTTCAGTTCTCCTTCCTGGCGTCATTTTTTTTTTCTTGTTACTCAAAACAAAAACAAAAATGTGCAATTTGCAGAAGATGATACAGACAAAAAGTCCTGGGTCACGCCTTTGAATGGAAGTCCGTCCTTTTTTGATTCCAGCGTGACGGGGATGGGTTTGATGCTGCCGGAACTTGACTCAACACACCTTTGTGATGTTCTTCGGGATGAACGGTCCACTGTTGCCACGGATACACTTGAACATCTTGTAGAAGATTTTCCCAGAAGAGAGGGGACTGTTAATAGCTCCATAGGAGGATGTAGATGGGACAGACTCTATATTTTTGTCCGCTTCCTGTAGATGGGATTCAACCCCAATACTTGGGCAGATATACAGGTGCATCTCAATGAATTAGAATTTGGTGGAAATGTTTTTTTTTTTTTCTTCAGTGGGTCAATTTATACAATGAAAGAAATTTTGTAGATATAACTTTAACACACAGGAAAATGCCACCTAATTTCCACAAGTAAAAATGATTTGGAGTGTTTCTTTTGTCATCCAGCGCACACGGCTGCTATTTGCCCAGGAAAGCATACGTGCCCCACCGCAAATAGTGAAAATCTGTGTGAAGCCCCTCCAAAAAGGCTTGAAATTGCTAATCAATGCCACAAGACGGTGGCTAAGAAATATTTCTGTCAAAATGAAACTCCTCAACTCACAACAACATAGTCTTAGCAGCAAGATGCCACAAGATGGTGCCAAAGTTAAGCTTTTACTGCTTTGGCTGAAGCACAAGAATGTCAAGGTGAGCTTTTTGGTGGCGAAAAGGAGATTAGTTCCACAGCAAAGAAAAAAAAAATCTGTCATGAGTTAAATTTGTGAATGCCCAAAAACAAATATGCAGGTGCTCACTGTATTCGAATTTTTCGAGATTTGGCTTTTCGTCAACCGTAATGTATAACCATGAATATTATGAATCAGGAAATATTTCACTGGGTATTGTGAATCTACATTATATGTGAAACTATTGAAATAAATGCAGTTTTTCACAATTCTGTATTTTATTGAGATGCACCTGTAGAGTGTATTGCTATATGTTTCGACATCTTGCATCGGTTATAGAAATCACTCCCTGGGTAAGACCTTGTCCCTGTCCACCAGCTTTTTCTGCTTTGTTCCCACAGGCCTCACCTGCAGGTCTGTGCATTTTTCTCACTAAGTCTTCCTGCTGTTGACACGGCGACTCTGTGGCTCGAAAGTTACGAGTGCTCCGCGGCTTTGCTGTGGTGACTGCTGTTGCAGTGCACCTGCGAGAGCTGCAGGCCGCTGTGGAGCACCGGCCCGACGCAGCACATGGACTCGATCTCCTCCAGGAGGCCTCGATCCTGCATCGCCGCCCCCAAGCCTTTGGCGTGACCCAGACTCGGCAGTCCCTCCGTGTAGTCCTTCTCCCAGGGGACCTGCACCGACTGGCTATTCCTGGCCCTGCTCTCCTTGCTTGCCTGCCTGTGCAGAGATTTCTCCTTGTAGTGCCTCACCGTCTCCTTGGAGAGCACTTTCCTCCTCAAGATGCCGGTGGAGCCTGTCGGGTTCTGGGCGGGAGGGGGCTCGGTGCTCGCTGGGGGCTCAGAAATGGTCCGCGTGCGGGGCGCCGGCAGTGGAGAATAGCTGGGAATGGAAGCTGCGTGGGACAAAGTTGGAGATGGTGTTGTGGCCGTAACTTGCTGAGATGTTGACAGAAAATAGGAGAAGCACTCTCCTGCTTGTCTCCCTGGAGGTAGAGGACGCGGACCGGGCTGCTCATCTGTTATGAGCACAGGGGGCACAGGGGTTTTTTTTAGGCTGCTCTTGGTGGGCTTTCTGCGTGGGGATGGCGGGAGGTGTTTCCCGTGGACCGCGCTGTCATCCTGACCCATGTTCCAGCCCCCCTGATCCCCCACTCCATCACAATCCCTTTCCTCTGACGGCTGACAGTCACCAGCGGTGTTAAATTTACTCTGAAAATGATCGGACAAAGAGGAATTAGGAAAGCTTATGATAACAATACAGTCAAACAAGCCATTTCCTATGAAGTGACATTCCCGTGTGTGTGTGTGTGTGTGTGTGTGTGTGTGTGTGTGTGAAATACTTTTGAAATGGATCTGCAGTGGCTTAAGTCTACACTGCCCTGTTCAAATGCCAGGTTGGGGGGGGGGGGGGGGGGAAAAG